AAAAAAATGTATATAAATCACGAAAACGATCGTGGTCTATAGACTCGGCTTGAGCATGCACCGGTAAGAGTTTTCAACCCAAAATTGGTAATGATAGTCATTTACTCTGCACACACTTGGTAGAATCTGATGCAGCTGGTCTCCTCATGCTGAGCAGCATCAACCCTACGCTGATCCACTTGTAGACAGACTGGATCCTCTGGGGTTGATACTTTGTCATAGGCCGGGCTTCTTTGAGCATTTGGGGCAAAGTCTGTGTTTTGCCATTGTTGTAAATTTTGAATTCTCAAATTGGCGGTATTCTGCTGCACTTAAAGAAAAAACAAATACAAATCTGTGACAATGAAGAAACTGTTTTGTGGACCCTGTCTGCCTCCAGGACCGGTGCGATGTCAGTTTGTTCTTCTGATGCATAGTAAATGAAGTTTATTATCTGAGGAAAGAAGTGTATCTTATTCCACTATCAAAGTGTGTACAGAGAAGCACAGCAGTATATATCAATGTTAAAGAAACAAATGTAAGAACTTCAATGTTGTATTTTATGCATGTTAATAAAGGTAGGCTATATTATCTGATATGTTTCTGCAAATTAAGTGGATTGTAAGGTTGAACAGTTGGAAAAAATTTGGTTCCCCTCAAAGGCTTTCTACTTTTTGTTATTTAGAAGCCAGTAGTTGAGCTCTTAGTTTTACACCCACTCGAACACTGTCTTCTTGTAGCCCTAAAAATATGATGCAAAGCTGATGGTTGATAATCAACTTGTCGCTCTGTTTCTTTTTAGTTTCCCTTCAATAAAGTTACTTAAACCATAAAACAACCAGTGTGATGTTTTTGTAGTTTTCATTTGAGGCATTTAAAAATCCCCTGAACACTGCTAGACTTTGAAGACTATGCTGAAGTCTTGTCTTCAGTAAAACCATCTGTACCATGTTTTAAGTACCGTACTGTGTGTATGTAACTAAGACACCTCTTGCTTTTGTTTTTTTTAACTGGTGCAACAATTGTAACATAACCAAATTTGGTGTATAAGGTAAAAGCTGAGTTCGTACAATTCAAATGAGGTTGAAACTCAATATTTGTATCAGTTTTATTTCTCACCAAACCCATTTCACCCTCTGGCAAGTGTGTGGGGTTGTTTGTTTTGTGTGTGTGTGTGTGTGTGTGCACGTTTGTCATTTCTTTAACTAGTCTTTAGGAATACCTCATGAGGGACATTAAAGCTCTATGCATGTTTGCTGGTTTTTGTTCCTTCTCTCAGGATAATCCCACATTGCTTCAGTAATGAGGTCTGCGTTCTGGGAGGACAATCCATTACTGATGGTGTTATAATGGCTTGTTGACTACTCTTCCAGTGAGACCATTTCTGATGACCCATTAATGAACAATAGATCAACGGAAGGGTCAGAATTTAAAAGATCCCTGAGTAAGGTGCCTATTTTTAAAAAAACAAAAAAAAAAAAAACTTGAATGATTCGTATGTCAGTGTTAAGTGTTTTAACAAAAATAAAGCTTTACAATGACTGAGCTAAGAATGAGTGAAAAGGCAGCAAATGTCCAAAGAAAAACTTCAAAGGACCTTCAGAAAGTCTGGCTCTGGAAATGATGTAAAGAAACAAAGGGTGACTCAAACTTTTTCACAATACTGTATATTGTTATGCTTAGAAATATTGCCTCCTAAGAGACCTACTAAATATAAAGGTTTTCTCTGACTTCCATTTTGCTTGAGTTGTTTTCCATAGTTTTCCATAATTGCTTACCATGTCGGTAAATGTTGTATACATACACACCCTTGTGTTTAGAAATGCAAAACACTCCCTTATTTGGTCCCTCTAAAATAAGTACATCGGTTTGTTGATTAGGAAATTATGCTTTAAAAAAACAAATTCATCTTTAAAATATATTTTTATATTAAAGCTGTGGCAGGATTTTGTTGAAAGGTGAGTTTAAAAAAAGCTTCTCTTTTTCGCGCCTGAACTTCCTGCCTGCGAACAGCTGACTACCACGAGCGGGTCACGTGACAAACACGGAAGCCCAGTATCGGTAAACGAAGCTAAAACAAAAAGAGTACACAATTATGGAGGCTTGAGGGAACTCTCCGTGCCTACAGCGAGATCTAAACTATGCTGCTGCATGTGCGCCTCTCTGGCTGGGCCTGCTGGTGTTTGTTTTCCGGTGTTTTCTCGGTATTTTCTCTGCAGCAGCGTCTCACTGTGAGCCTGAACGGCAAATGGAGGCTGTCAAACTCCAACGGTTCATTGTTACTGCCTGCACAGGTCCCAGGCTGTGTCCACTCAGCTCTGCAGCAGCAGGGATACATCACGGTAAGACGACTCACTTCATGGTGTTAATTTGTAGTCTTTAATCTTTCATTTATGTGCATTTAAGTAATGCATTTTAACTGATCCCTATAAATCTTATTCTATGTTGTCATTTATCAAATGTTTAGATTGTATGTAAAATATATTAGATCAGACAGCCTGCGTGGGTGCAAAGAGTGAAAGACATTTACAGGTGAGACTAAAGGTTAATCCCAGTTCCAAGAAGGAAACAAATGTCAAAACTGAGAATATGTCTGCTGTTTGAAGTACTTACTGCAAGGAGCAGCAGGTTTGTGATAGATGACAAACGGTCTTGAGCAATAGTTATCCAGGCTTTCTGAAGGTCTTTTTCACTCATTTTCCGGTGAGTCCTTGAACCCGACCATTTTAAGAAGAATGCTTTTGTTCGTTTGTTCATTTATTAAAGCTCTTAACACTGATCTATGCATAAAGCAATTCAAGTATAAAACAGGGACCTAACTGCAGGGAAAAACAATGTTCTTTCTACACATAAAAACCTAGAATATAACCAATTCTTATATCAAGAAGGTGATTCCCAAAGAGCTAATAGCTGACAACATGGCATATCAGCATGATGTGCAAGGTGTCTT